TTGAGACACACGGGAACAAAGCATCGTGATTTTGCAGTGTCCTTCACACCGGTCTCTGGGCTGTGCTGCCAGGAAGAAATGTACAGATCTTTAAATAAAAGTAAATAATAGATAATGCCTCATGATAGTCCTATAAATGGATCCTGCCCTGGTTTATGACTTGAAATTGAATTTCTTGTGCTCTACTCACTACAACTAATTGCTATGTAGAAAAGACTTATGCCTCAGACCCAGCTTGTCTCAAAGTCACTTGTTTCCATGGTTAATTTTTGAATAATTATTTGTTCCCGTAATGCAATGGATTTTTATGTCATCTTTTAGTACTGTTCAGTGAGAACCTAAGCTTTGTTCCTACATTTGCATGAAATGTTGGGGGAACAAATTACATTTCTCACTCTGATTGACTCCTGTGGAGTTATTTGGCTAGGTACCAGCTTGAGATCCTAAATATTTGTTGGAGACAAATTCTATTTAGATTTGCAATTCCTAAACTTAATTTTGTTGCAATTTTAGAAAACATTACTCATTTGAAATTAATATATGCAGTCTACCCAGTCATAAATGTTATGCAAAATAAGAATGAAATGTTGTCTTAAAGCATTGTGATTAGCTTTAAAATTATAATTATTTTCTTCTTTTTATAACTTACATTAATTACTTTTATTTGTTTTCTGGTTATTAAGACTATGGAAATTACATTCAAGTCTTTTCCTCAGTCTTAATTCTAAAGTATTTAATTGCTTTTTGTTTTAAATCTGAGATTCTCACTAATTCCTATGACTGCAGTAGATAGGGCATGAAATAGAATACCAGATAACTGCAGGATTTCTGGCAAAGGCCATGAAATAAAGGCATATGACATTAAGAAAACTCTGATATACAAAAATAGGAGTCACAATGAAAAGTGAAAAAATTTATTTTACTTTATCCAAACCGGATTACAAGAAGGGCATGAGGGAATATTGAGGAAACTGCAGACCTGTTAGTCTAACCTCAGTACCTGGAAAAATTATGGAGATCATACTGGGTGCTATTGACAGGCATGTAAAGGACAAGGCAATCATCAGTTTTTTTCTGGAAGCTCATTCACTAACTGTTATACACCTGATCCCTGTTTTTTACTTCCATGTGGTGTCAAACTAAATAGTGAACACAAAGCCTTGGTTTGAATTTTTAAAAAATTATGTTAAGTTTCAGTCCCACAAATTAGGCCTGTGTATCTGCTGTAATTGATCAAATGATAGTGGTGTCTTCCCAGGATTCACCTATTGAACTGATAAAGGAGCGAGATCAAAAAAAGAATTACTTTTTTAAATTAAAAAGCTGAGAACATTCTTTGCAAACAGAGACATTGGAGCTGATGGTCTATCACAGTATTGGAACAGGGTTATTTCTTGATATGCATCCTGTTTTGGTTTTGTCTGGTCTTGACATCTGCGTTAAAGTGAAAGGCCCTTCATCAGCAAGGTTGGATGGAGCTGCACCGTTGAGATGTAGAGGGTCGGGGCACATCTTGTGACTTTGTCTACGCTGCGCAAGGTCACACAGAGGACTTAGAGAGGGTTGCCATGGCCTCTGCTGTTTCTGATTCTTCCTCACCTGGGTAATAGGGGTTTTCATTACTTGCAACCAATTCAGTCGAATATCTCAGTGGTGGAAAAAGCTACTTGTTTAATTTTTATTTTGGTTTTGACTCTTAATTTCATCTCTTTTTTTGCTTTTGTTTCTCAAAGGACCAATTTACCAACCTGATCTAGTTGGAGATATCCCTGTTCCTTGCAGGGGGGTTGGACTAGATGACCTTTGAAGGTCCCTTCCAGCCCTAACCATTCTATGATTCTATGATTCTATGAATTTAATTCTTTTAAAGTATTTGTAAATTTTTAAAAAATTAGCAGGGCTTAGTAAATTTTAACCACATGAAGAGCACTGAATTCTTTTAGTATCTCTTATGAGCGACTCCTTCAGTGCTTTCCTCTTTTTCACTTTTGGCCTTGAAAGCATTAGAAGTCAATGCACAGTGGTGTTAATTTCAGTGCTATTAAAAAGTTCAGGTATAGCACAGACCCTGAAGTCTTACTGTGACAAAAACAAAAATATTGATTTTTTTTTTCTGTACTTTTGTGATCTGGGATTCCATATATCACAGTTCTTGTCCTCCAAAGAAAAAAGTAGTTTGCGTCATGTCAGTGGAACTCAGTAATAAAAGGTGAGTAAAGATGAAAAGTCTTCTGCCAAGATGTGTAATTAAGAGTCTCCAATTTTCTTCTGTATCAAGAAGAAAAATGATTTTCTATAATTTAAAGGCAACTTTTGTAGTTTTGTCTGATTGCTAATATTTTGATTTATTCTTGGCTGACATCGCCACAGTCCTAATTTAATAACTGAGCTCTAATCCTATGTCAGGACTTTTCTTTGGCTCGAAGCAAGAAATCAAGCGTTCGTGGCCAGTTATCTTCAGATCTGCTCCATAAAGCTGTCCATCATAAACAGCAGCATGAGAAAAGCATCTTGCTCATATTGGGCAATAGGCAAAAATATGAGGAAGCGTAAGCAAATGCTGTAAGTGGTGACACTACACACCATAAGAAGCTGCTGTGCAGTAGCACGGACACAGAGACGAGCAGGCAGAGCTGGCAGCCAGGCTTGACCTGAGAGCCCCGTGGCTAAAGCAGCCATCTGGGAAGCAGGGCCCTGAGCTAGGCAAGTTTGAACACCCCATTTGGGTTTTCTAGGCAACACTGCACCTGCAGGACTGTAGGGTATTCTCAACAAAAGTATGTCTCACCTGCCATCTGATCAAAAGAAGGACATTGTGCCCTCAGTTGCCATCAGAGGTAGAGTAAGAATGATCTAGCCTTGCTGTAAAGCACTCGGCTGGGAGGGGAGAGATTTCCTGTTCCCAAGACTGTTTTCTGTTAGTCCATGATGGTCTAATTTAAAATGCAGAAATAGATCTATATCACCTTACTGAGGCCTAAGTTTCAAATAGAAAATCTGCATTTTTGCCTTAGGTACCTACATGAGCTAAATGTTTGCGATAGCGAGAAGCTCTTTAGTCAGGCAGATAAAAGCATGGAAAGAGGCAGTGCTAAGAAAGTGAAGATAAGTAAGGGTGGGCTGGAAGTGAGAAGTGGTAGATTCCTTGTTCTTGAGTCTGTAATTCAAAACCAGCTATTTTTTTTTTATATTGAGATATGTGTTTAGCACAGGAATTGTGGCCAAGGGCTTTCAAGAACTGCGTTCTGTAGGAAATCTGATTAGATGAGGAATGATCAGAAAGTCTCTGCTGCCTGTAAAATAGTCTAGCCTTAAAACAAGTTTAAAGTTAGACTCTTAAACTGTATAGTTCAATTGAATTTAGTGGAGCTGTGTCATTTTACAGCTGTAAGTGTACCTACTTCTTAGATCTGACTTCCCAGTAGCATACAGAAAATAATTTAGTAGGCTTTTGTAACAAAAAAGACGTTTTCTTCATCAAAAGTTACCTTCTCCTCACACCCTTTTGCCTTTTCTTCCCCTGAGAAATAATGCATCCTATTGCAGCAGGCTTGCATTCCCCCAGGGTCCTTTGCCATACCCAGCTCTGCACAAAGTAACTGCAAATTGTTGTCAGGAAAGCAGGAATAGCTGTGCCTGCATCTGGCTAACTAGGAAATGTTTCACTGAATTGTAGGGGAAAGAGAAGCGAAATGCTGTGCCTGGGATAATATCCTACTGTGCCCTGTGTGGGTATATGTGTGGGGTGTTTTGCCCGGGGAGCAGGATAGACTAGTGCTATCCTCAAGGGAGTCTCTGACTCGCCTCCGTTCCACACCTAGGAAGGAGCTATAGAAGAAGCTGACAGTTAAATGGGGAAAAACTGGATTACAGCTGTGGATTCCCCTGAAGATCACTTTTTCTTTTAACAGATGTGCTGGAAGTAGGTACCACTCAGAGAATTTTGGCAGGGTATATCTCAATGGTACAGTGTAGTTGGCTGTTACTAACAAGAAGGATCAAGAAAATAAAATTCTTGGAAAGAGCTAGACTGGCATAGGTCTGTTCAGGTTTTTCATCTTACAGGACCAAAAGAAGGGGCCTGGAAACTGTGGGAAAAGATGATGTTAATTTTCTTTTAACAAGTTCAAGTGATATCCAGTGTTGTGTCACCAAGAACAGCAAAGAAGCAGCAAGGAGAAAAAAACCCATAGGAAATAGGAGAAAAAAACCCATAGGAATTAGCAAAAAAAAAACCCTATTGAGGCATGACTAAGAACCTGCCATGCAAATCTATTAATATTTGTAGCGGAGGTTGAGACCCCGAACCTTGAAAAAGAGAGTGGAAATGTCCTACAACCCAAATTTTTGAATCTTCCACTGGAAGTTATAACTGGTTTCTGACACCCAAGGCTCAATATTTAACTAAATCCCTTCTTAACTTGGCTATGTGAGGTATATGTAAAGTAAGTTACAACGTGCCATATCACAGTCATGCCAAGGGTTGTCTGTTGTTTCCATATCTGAGTGGTCAGAACTGAAGATATACCTAGCTGATGGGGCAGAAGTGCAAAAGCTTCTTTCATTTTGGGGCTCCTAATTTTGAATATAAAGCTATTTGCATGTATAAAAGTCAATACAATATTTGAAAATGCTCATGGATGTTAAAAATTGAGTATTTCTTAGCAAGGGGATCTTTCAAAATTTTATGAGTTCATGTAGAAAATGAATTTCCCCTGGGTAATACTAAAACTACTAAATCTGAAAACCTGCCTAGAAGAGGAATAGCTCTCAAGTATAAAAATCTTCCAATATAAGATAGATACGAGTTAAACAGAATTTGACATAATGGACAGAGCAACCAGGTCCAATGAGGATTTAAGTGTAGAGAATACTGGAAATAGTTTTCACTGTTGCTTCAAATATGTAATAACCAGAAAAGCATCTCATTTCTTGGGGTGTAGAATGGATACTGTGCAAAATAATGAAAGTAAGCATTTAAATTGCTTGGTTCATTGCAGGCATTGTGTCCCTGATCTCCTTGGCTGTCCTGTCCTATGAACGCTACAGCACTCTCACTCTGTGCACCAAGCGCAGTGCTGACTACCGGAAAGCATTGCTGGCAGTCGGCGGTTCATGGATTTATTCCCTGATCTGGACTGTGCCACCTCTGATCGGTTGGAGCAGCTACGGGGTAGAAGGTGCAGGTACGAGCTGTTCGGTACGCTGGTCCTCGGAGTCAGCTGAGTCCACATCCTATATCATCTGTCTCTTCATATTCTGCTTGGTCATCCCGGTGATGGTCATGATGTACTGCTACGGTCGCCTCCTTTACGCTGTTAAACAGGTAAGCAGCTGTGTGCTATCAATAGTGCAAACTGCTCTGAGGCCCATGTTGCGTGATAGGCACAGCACAATGACAGAGATGATAGACAGAGAGCACAACGAAAAAGCACAATGAAATTAAAAAGACCACAGAAAGTCTCTAGGAAGGGGCAGGAGGTCTTCACCAAACATTTTCATCCTCCTGAAGCTCCAGTCAGAACAACCACGTAACATCCGTATAGATACTGATTTTGTGGCTTGGAAATACTATGTTCTAGGAAAACCGGCATATCTGGGTGAAGGCTGTATTTGTAACGAAGCCAACACCTGTATTTACCTGTCTATAAATAATATATCTGTGCAAACATTTCTTCCTGTTTGGATGATGATGTTTCAGTAATTTCTGCTTCTTAATCTATGGAGACCTAACTGCACTAAGGCAATTCTACTGCAAGTTGCACAGTTATCTCAAGGATCAGTTTCTCCTTGTAATTCTAGGCCACATTTAAAAGTTTCCTTAAATACTACTACTACCACCACTACTACTACTACTGCTACTATGACGATGCTTCTATGACTGGTTTAAGGTATACTGCAGATATTCCAAAATGAATGTTCCAAAAGACCCTGCCAGGAGTCTGATATTGTGAATTGTGAATGCTCTTGGGGTAGTAATGAAATGGTTTAATGATGAATAATGAGAAAGGAATGAGTGTATAGATGTTCTCTAAAAAGCAATTCTCTAAAATGTTGGGATGAGTTAACTAAAGGTGTTAAATGGAGAAAAAAAAAAAAAAAAAGGCAGTAAATCCCTGAATAGAGGCTCTCATACAGAATTGAAGTGGATATAGTTTACTTTGGATTAGTCATAAGGAATTAAGGTCATGTGTTTTATGTGATTTGTCAAAACTTTCAGAATACTTGAAGACCAAATGGGAAATCTTTTCCTGATTGAGTGCTGAGCAGGCCAGTAAAATCCCTTTAATGAATCACACATTAGTACTCCTCTTAATGCTGTGCAATAGTAATATGGAAAAAAAATTTCCTTTGATTGTAAGCCACTAAAGTGAAGTTGCAGACCATATCTGGTCCCTGGGCAGCAGTATCCTTTGCCACCACCTTAAAGAAAGAAGCAGGATCTTGGAGCATGTGCTACTAATAATATGCAGAAGATACAGCTTACTTAAACTTTTGTCTCTTCTTTCCTTCTGTCCTTACTGTCCTTCCTGACAACAGCCATCATCCACAGCATACAAACATTTGTATGCTTGAAGCTTCTGTAGCATGTGCTTTAGCTTCTAGCTCTGAATGTAAACTTGTGTTATTTTTTTCACTTTTTTTTAAAAAAATCAGTTATATTAAAAGTAGTAGTAATTTCACCAATCTACCTGATGGGTCTCAGGAAGCTGTGGCGAGCATGCTGAGGGAACGAAGTATCGTAGAAAAGATATGTGCAATCTGTAGCCGTTTGGTATTTAGACATGAAGACTGGGTAGACTGGGTGGAAGACTGGGTTGATTGGTTAATTGACTGTCCAGAGAAAAAAATGGGAGAAGTAATAGCATTTTCCACAGTCCTCTCTCCTCTATCCTTCATGTGCTTTCCAGAGTGATCAGGAAGCCTCTGGGGCACTGAAGGTTAGAGAGACCTGTGGAATTTTGTAAATAGTGGAAGTGAAAAAGAACCAAACCTGGTCTTGCATAACCTATTGGAGGACAGGTCTCAGGGAACTAATTCTTGTTAAATGCAAAGGAACTCCAGTAAGGATTAGATCGTATCTCCTCCCTAAAATTGTTATGACAAGCATCACAATAGCTGCCAGAGTATTTGTGAAGTCTTGAATAGCTAAACCCTAAATTTTTACACAGAATATCTAATGCTTTCCTGGTATTTTAAAAAGGTTTCCTTGGTAAGGTATATTTCAGCAAAAAGGATCCCAATCAGAAAAGTCATCAGTCCTCAGCTTTCTATGATGTACCAGAAACTGTCTCCAGTACCATAATTCTGAAATCTTTCATTTCATAAATTTCCTGTGACGTGTAAATTTCTGAAGAACATATCATGACACAGTCACTGAAATACAGACTTTTTTCCCTTTGATCTGAGGTCCTCTAAATATTCTGTAATAAAAGGGATAGATTATGAAACGCTAAAGTATGTCATGTTTCAAACTGGAGAAAGAGATGAGCAATATGCAAACAAAAATATAATAGTTCTTACATGCAAACAAAAATATAATAGTTCTTACATAAAACTACAAAGAGTAGGCAGGGTAATACAAAGAAAAGTTGAGATTACTACATCCATTGTAATGCTGTTACTTTCTGGTGTGGGCAAAAAATTCATTGCCTTGCAATATTCTGACCTCATAGATTAAAGGCCTTCTGTGACCCCCTGTGTTATATATTAGAAGAAATGTGGGAGTGTAGCAAACATAATAAGTGCATTATCCCAACTTCAGCTGCTTTGTAAATTTTCTAAAATATGTATTTCATATTTTTGCAAGATATATAGAAGTTTTTATGTTAGAGCATTGTAACGTTAATGGTCTTGCACCCTGAGATCAAGAGTGCAGGAGTTAATGCTGTTATTAATAGTGCGATGTACATGAATTGAGGTGGAAGAAATATCTTAATAGAATTGGGATAGTTAATGCAAGAATTGGCACAGTGCCTGCATTTTCTCTTTGTAAGGACAGTAATTATAGGCTTTTTCTTCTCTAAATTGAGTCAGGTGCTGTAGCATTCTGTCACTCTAGGCATTAAGAGATCCTATGAAGTCATCTGCAATCTGTGTAATGGTAAAAGGCACAAGGATTTCAGTAACACAGGTTTTATAAAACATCATCTTTTCAAGGAATTACAAGTCAATAGCATCCTTGTATGAATAATGTTCACTGAAAATGCCATTAAACAGTATTACAGCATGACTGCACTGTTATCTCAGAGCTCTTGCCATTTATCAAGCTCAAAGACCCTTAGGAATTGATCAATTTATTTTCTTTAAAAGTATGAGGTTTTTTTTTCCAGAATGGCTTGATCTGGATGGTTGAGTTTGGTTCTGCAGATGGTCTTTGCTGCTGTCCTTGTGCAACTCACTCGAGGAGGGAAATGCTAGCTCTGAATAATGAGAGCATTTCAGAGATCTTGGGCAAAATAGTGCTTAAAACAGAGAGCCAAAGAAAAAAGCTGTGGTTTTAGAAGCTACTAGGGAACTTGGCAGTGCATCAGATTTTAAGACATAGAGAAACACAGATATTTTATTAGACTTTTCCTCCCTCTGAGTCCATATTTTCACACATGCTGACCTTGTTTCTTGTTTTTATGAAACGTATTCTTCCATTCCTGCAGATGCAGACATTTGATTTCTTCTTTAAGTTTCCCTTTAGATTTGATGTGTCTGACACCTGTAAGTAGAAAAGTGCAAAGTTTTCCTCCTTGCAAACTATGTTTCACATATATTTTATTCATCTTTGTTCTGCAGAACAAGGGAAGGAAACAGAATCGTTTATTTCTCCTAGTGCAATTAGTTTGGTTTTTTTTCAGTTTTGGCATATGACACTTCTCTATGACTCTACCATTGTGTTCCCTCTGGAAAAATGTTCTTTAAAAGTCAGTGTCAGTTGTTTACACTTTGAAAAGTGAGCTCCCAAACGTGGAATTACAGAGATTAGCATTGCGATCACTGTAGCGCAGAAGGCACAGTATGATTAAAATCCTCCACTGAGGGGCCCAGAGAACTCATATGAACCAGCCTAATGAAAATTAGTAAAACTTTTAAAAGAGATCTCTTCACTCTGCATCTCCCACTTGCGCACAGAAATCCTGCCCGAGGACAAGAAGAGTCCCAAAACATTGTTTCAAGAAAAGTTTTCAGATTGATTTGGTGGAGACTCTCATCTTGGCTCATCTCATTGCCAGCCTTCTTTTGTCAAAAACTGTGCCTGAACAAAGCTCAGTAGCTCTTTATGGAATGCAGCTAAGACATGGAAAACAATAAAAAGGACTGTAAGCAGAGCACGAAGACTTAAACACATAATGTAATGCACATCTGACAATGCAATTCTTGCTCAGTGCAACAGACTGTGTGTTTAAGTGGGCAAAGGGCCGATGGTCACACTGTCTCATGGGGTTCTGGAGTAGATGGACTTGTGACCTGACCTGATAGTACTGCTGTGTGAGGTTTTTTCTTTTTACTTGAGAACAGCGAGGAAAAAGTAGAAATGAAAAACATTTATTACATTGTTTCACATCATTACCCCAGTTCTACTTCGACTTTGTTTTTAGACCAAAAAAACCCCAAGGAAAAATATTGAAGGAAAATTTTAAGACTAGTCCATATGAGGCAGAAGCTGGCCTTGCCAGTATGCCTTATCTTCCACCTCATGGTGCACCTACTAATGCTTAATTCCTCATAAACTGGTAGTTTAGCTAGTGACCAACATGTGGATTCAGGTAGTGGAATTATCTGACTATTACCCTTTACAGCAACTTTTGTTGTTTCTTTTGAAAAGTGCCATGTGATGTCTGACTCCCATGTGTCGTATGAGAACCAGATCAATTTTTTTAATCCCATCTCCTGACCTTTCTGAATCCTGTCACCTCATAGGGGAATGGGGACAGTCAAGGTTACACTATAGAGAGCTGCTGAGTCCTCTCTTACTCCTCTTCCAGACTTCAAATTACCAAATTGTAGTGGAGGAAAAGTGCTTCTGTCTCTTATTTAAGAAGTAATGCCCCAGAGTGAAATTGTGACTCAGTTATAAACCTGAAGAAACTAATCTTGAATTCTGTGTGGTGAGATTTTGACTCTAGTATATTTTTTAAAGCATTGGATGTAAGCAACAGTGACGGTTTTGAAATCTCCTGTGCCTGCAAAGAAAAGCTGAGAGAAAAAGGAAAGAAGAGATGTAGATTTTTATGACTTCTGATTCCTTAATCTTGTTTTATGTCTGTACTATTTGAAACAGTTAAAAATACCTGTAAAAGCAATTATTGCATCATTGTTTATTAAAGTCATCAGGAAAGGATTATAAAGTAGAAGGATTGCTCCTGTGGCTGTTTCCAGTTCTCCAGCTCATTTGGAAATGATTGTTTGTAGGAAGACAACACATTAGGGGAGAATGCTTAATGATTT